TTTTATTTTGAAAAGCTGCACTTGCTCATAAAAGTTGTGCTCTAAAATATAGCTCCACTAAACTGGAAACAACTAAGGCTGAACTCTATAGTAAAATATGTTAGGCTAAGCACTGAATTTTAGTCAACAAGTGGCATAACTGTGTTCAATACATGTCATTTGTGTCACGTAAGAGCTTAAAAATCTTAATTCCCTTAAACCAGAGGGGGGGAAAGCAAAAGTATAACATAGGCAAGTTTTAATTGGTGGTTTGTTTGATCGAGTTTTTAGTGACACCACGTACTTCTTATAGTTCCCAAGACACAGATAATTATTCCTCTTTGTATATTATACAAGACATCTTCAATACATAAATATTGAGTTATTTCAACAATTGTGTTCACTATATTTAACTGTTCCTGAAATCCTTTGGGGATGACATTTGAAAGAATGTTGTTAGATGTACTGTATTTCCTTACAATGTCTCAGATTCTAAATTAGCTATTTTTCCAAAACTCAGAAGGCTTCATTCAAACACCAAATTTTAAAGAACATTTTGCTATATTATTCATGAAAACAGTGACACTATAAATGATGTTCCATAGCTTACTAAATGGATGATAGAAATATAACATCAGAATGAAATAAAATGAACAGCTAAGGTTTTTAAGGTTAATTCAATCTTTCTAAAAATTCCATGCCATAAAACATTTGTTTATATGAGTTCAGTATTATCTTTTGGAAGCAAGTTTAACATAGTTTGTACTATGCCAGTAAAATTCCTTCAGATGTTAAGGTCTCCTATAGCTTAAAGTGAGAAAGAATTAAAACTGCAGCAAATTTTCAGAGATATATTCATATCTAAGTGAGAGATTATGGTTCCTCCTTCAACTGAGGAAACAGAGGGATAAAATATAAAGTAACCCACAACAATAAGTAGTATGACAAATATAAATATTACAACTTTAAGATTAAAAAAAAACATGTTATCTATCAGCAACTCTTCATCATACTGAAATTAAAGGTATAGAACAGTGTAAAGGTAACTATCCTATTAAACTGGAACAATATTAGAAGTTATATTACTTGATTTCCTACTTGATAGAATTCTATTTATCTACTAATTTCGGCTTAAAATATATACCAATAAATTTCTAATATGCTCTGAATCAGAGTATAAACTATAACTTTTAAATGCTATTACAAAAGTATTCATGCTGTACTGCTAATATAATGATACCCTTCCTTCAACAAGGTAAACAAAAGAAGTGATCTATTTTAAACTGCTTTAAGGTCTCTGATTTCCATAAAAAAAAAAGATCATTCCAATTCTAAAGGTTAAATTGGCCACTGGATTTTCCCCATGTCAAAATTAAGGCAGTCTGGGATATTTCCTTTACTAAAAGAAAAATTCATTTACATCCAGCTTTTCCATGATTTTCTTTTTAAATGTAACATACAAATGATTTGTGGTTTTTTAAAAAAGCATCACCTAAGTTGGACAGTGAAACAATTAAAATATAATAAAGGTAGATATAATATGTTCAAATTTTAAATAAGGACCATAAAAGAAAACAATAATAGTAATTAAGTGTGATTCAATTTTTAAGTGCAAATATGAAAACTGTATAAATTACGCAAAAATGTATGCCAAGATTATAGTGAAAGGATTCCTGTTTGATTGATATAATGAATAGCTCCAGTGTCATACAATAGAATAAAAAATAGGTACACAATGAAGTCTTCTAAAATCTAAGTCATATGAATATATTTACTTAATACATCCTCTACTTCTCTAAACTAGTAAGTTTTTCCAATTACCTACCTGAACCATTCACTAAATATTTTCAACAGATAAAATCAATCTGTGTATTAACAAAACTAAACACTCCTACCATTCTGAGAACAGAGACAGCCACATAGCCCCCCAAATGAGAAAGCTGGTGTCCACTACATGGCAACACCTTTAAATAACCTAATTATAAAAACTGATCAATAAACGCATCATATTAGGTTGCTTTAATCAAGAAAAAAGATATATCCATAAACCACCAGTAATGTTAGTACTCTGTAAAATTTAGATTTTTAAAAATAAATGAATTACACTGCACAACAAAAAGTAAATCTCTTTGTAGGTCAATTTTTTTTTTCTGATTACAGTAGTTGAAAAATGGACTTTACAATCTTCATCATACAATTCCCCAAATTAATGTATGTAATATATGACATGCTGAAATACACAATGCAACATACAGTACTACAAATTCTAAATTCATGTTAATTAATATGTAAAAATGTTTTCTTTATTTCAGCCATAAATATAAATTATTATTCAGAAAAGCAAGGTTGCTTAAGACATTTTCAAGATATAACCTGAGCAAAAATAAGAAAAATATGATAAATATGAGATTATATTGGCTATACTAAAAACAATGCACATATCATTTGCATTGAAATTTATTAAAACATCCCCAAAGTGTGTCTGTTTTCTGCATACATATCCTGAGGAAAGTTTTTTGTCAAATGTAGTAGTATTTTATCTAAACCTTTTAAACACAGTTACATTCTGTTTCAAAACTTAGGTAATTTGAGAAAACCCATTAGGTTACAGCTAAAGTACATTTTCACTAAATACACTCTCTTAGCAAATGAGACACAGGAAAATGTTCGTGGATTAAACATCAGGCATATTCATTCCAATAGAATAAAGAGTCAAACATATACAAAACACACAAAAATGTACTTCTGAATTATTGCATAATCCTACAAGAAAGTCTTTATAACTTCCCACTATAAAGAAAAGCTTTAAAATTTAGTTCATCCGAGATGAGCCACGTAAGTATGCCTTAAGTATATCTGTATATCGAAGTAAAAGAAGTGGAAAGGCACTGAGAAGCTGATATTGTGAAGAACACCAGGACTTTAATTCCACAGGCTTGTGGTCAAGTGTGAACAGGAAAGCTATTGCAATTAAAGTCTATCAGAAGAAGAGAAATACATATGTAATAACCTAGTTAAATTTTCATTAAAACACAAAGTGTTCAGAATAAAAACTTTTTATAAATTACAAGGCTTTGTTTTATCCTTAAAATCGATTCTATGGTGTATGATTGGTTTCCACCTGTTACAGTCAGAGTATAAGCCTTCTTGTATCCAGACATCTCAACTCACATTTGATCAGATTACGTCACTGCACGCACGAAATTTTGCTCAACACATTTTAGTTTTCTTTCCTTTTTCAAAACAAATATCCTTTTTCTATAGGAAAAACATGACCCTGAACTATAAATAAAATAACCAATTTCAATGTAATAAGAAAAAAGACGCGCCACTAAGTGGACTAAGAACAAAAGATATAATTCTTGGTGTACCCTTTCTAAACCACTGAAAATAAACTGCATTCAAATGAAAAGGCATTTAATTTACTATTTGGAATATCCTTGATAAACACCAATTTCCTAAAACACCCCTGAACATCTGATACCGCCTCATGTATAATGCAAAAAAGCTATTTCATTTTCACCTAGTGAAAGTGAATTTAATTTACCATTGCAGTCTTTTCCTAGAACTATCACGTTATTAATTCTGCAATCAAGCTCTTTTGGGTGCTTTTATTTATATTTAGGTTTTTCACAGCTCCAAACTGAATTTTTCCATCGTGATATATCTTTTAAGTATACAAATGTAAATGTATGAGCAAACTTTCTTAATGCATAGGGAAAGTTTCAGAGGCACGGAAAGCCACCTACAAAACTACACTCACGGGAAACAAACTTTGGAAGGACATCATATCTCACAGATTACATTTCAGTTTAATAAATTTAATGTTCACCAAATATAACTACACTTAACCTATATAACAAATGACAGTTTCAACCATTCTAAAACCTTCTTAACCAGCATAATGGTCCATTTTCTACCAGCAAGTGATTAGCTATGAAAAACAAATCCTCCAAATGTTCTGCTTACATTCGTGACAGATGTCTTTGCTGTATTAAAGAACTCTTACTGAATTAGATCACTGAAAGAAAATCAGCTTTTCTTTGCCACCCGGAAAAAAAAAATTAGCAGTATCGGTTCCTCTCAGCACTGAATAAAATTTTTTTAACCATAAAGATGGAATAACCCCCAAAATGGCATAAGTTACATCCAAGTAAAAGCAAATCCATGAATGTTTTATCTAGGAGACACACTAGTTAATTATGGAGTTTTTCCGATTAAACTTAAAATCCATATATTGAGAAGCAAAATGATTTTTAAAAAGATAAACATGCATAACTGTATAACACCTGAAATTTGAAAAGCACACTGAAAAAATTATACCACCTAGTAAACTTGCCATATTCTAATGGTTAAAGTGCCAAAGGAACTGTTGACATATTTTAATCAAACACAGCTCTTAAGTCACAAAATTTTGAAGCATTATTTTACTTCTTACATAATATATTTTCTCGTCACAATTTACATTAAAAACACAATATTTTAAAAACCCAAAGAGGCAGCACTTGTCCTCTTTACTTCACTCCAGGGCCAACAAACAAAGCAATGAAGCAGAAAGAGGTACATAATGGATTTAGAAGTAAATGGTCCATTCTTTAAAAAAGGCTTCCTACCCGCTCTTCTTCTGAATTCACTCTGGACTAATTGTCATTACAATGATGTCTGAAAACTTCAGAAGAACCCTATTTCCTGATGCCAGCTGTCAATGCCTCTATCTTTAAATTTCAGAGTTTGCTGTGTTTTCTTTTCCCCCAGGAAGAAAGTATTTAGAAATACCTAGGACATCATTCTCACAATTGGCCTACATCACAGACACAGTGTATCTATTATAGAATAAAAGACATAACCGACAATGGAAATAGTCCTTAAGAATTTCCACAAGCATTCTAATACAGTCAATACATACATAAAATCAAGCCTACACTATTAAGAATTTCTTTCAAAACAGCATACAGCACACAAAGACCTTCTCCTTCTTTCCTTGGGGACTTATCGAGAAATCTCTTCACCATTGCACCTACCTGGGTAAAAATCTTTGGACTTAGACAGCTTGATGGTGGCTCCAGTTTCTTTTTGCAACTGAACAATTGTCTGTCCTCCCTTCCCAATTATAGATCCAGCAGCATAGCTAGGTATGAGAACCTTTAGAAAATACTGGCCGTCTTCTGAAAAAGGCAGAGAAATATACTTTGTTAACATGATAATTTAAACTTTGTATCCCCTCTCCACCCTCAAGAGAGAAAACCAGCAATTAGAACCGTTAGACATATAGGTGAAGGAAATATGGGGTTAAATTTTTTTTAAAGAACACAAACAAAACAGTTATACTGAAAACTAAGTATGTACAAATGTTTCCCGTTTTGCAAGATTTATATTTTCAAACTTGGGTTTAAAATCTAAACATGTTCTATTATTTTGCAGCACTGTAGAGACTGATGACTAAATTCCAGTTGTTATTCCAAACATGGAAGTCTTCCAATTCTATCTGGTTACTATGGTAAAACAAAATGAACGGACCCTTGAACAAAACTTCAAGAGATTTATGAAATGACAAACCTTCTCTGGTAACATACCGCAAAACAAATAAAAGGACCATAAATGGTGATGAACTATGTTTGTTTGACATTAGCAAACACTTAAGGACTACAATTAGCCATTACAAATATCCTACTTAAAGTATGCAAAACAACCGTTCTCCTACCAAATAATCCACCCAAACCGTAGGGTGTGTTCCAAGCCTTCAATAACTGCCAGGAAATAACTCAAAGTGATTTGAACTGGCAAATCAAACTAATCCTCGGGTATTTCTTTAGCACTTCTTAGCCTACCGTGATCTCCTTTAAGCTCATTAATTAAAAGACCTTTAAGAATTTCTGCCAGTGCTAAAAAGCTTAGGAGTCATTGATATCGAACACACTTAAAAATGACCGAGCCGATAATGCCCCTTCTCCAAAATAACTACATATTAAAAAAAAAAAAAAAAAAAAAAAAAAAAAAAAAAAAACGGAAAGGGGGTAAGAGAAGAACCCAGAAAGTGAAATGAAATGAAATGCTTCCAAAATCAGAGCCAACTCCATAAACTTTAATTTCCGCAAAACTGATCATGTCTTAAAGAGGAAACACCCCGGGAGGAAAAAAAAGAAAAAGAAAGAAAGAAAAAAAAAAAGCCAGCTTCCTTATGTTGAATGAATGTTCCAAAAAAAAATGTTGCGGGCATGCCATTCGCAAGACCCCCGTCCGCCTCTCCGTGTGCATGCCGTGGAAAAATTCACCTCTGCCTCGATGCATCGGGTGCATTGTTAAGACGACTCCAGTGCCAGTGAAGAAGCGGTCCCGGTCCCGTTATAACTCATCTTCCCCCGGCAGCGCAGGCTGTTAACTCCCAAGTCCCAGTCCCGGCACCCCCACCCTCCCGTGCGCCCGCGGAAGGCAGATCAATGAGGGATGCGCGCCGGCACTCGGAGCGCGGGCAGAGCGTGCGCCCGCTCGCCCAGGTTTCGCCTTACTACTTGTGGCCCCACCGCGAGGAGGGGATGGGGATGGAGAGGGGGGAAAAAAACTCTCAGGTGCCCCGATCGCCGGCCGGCTCGCCGCCGCCGCTGCCCAAGTGCCACTTATTTATTTATTTCATCACACACACCGGGAGGCGCGGCGCGCATCTTCGGGCGGCCGCCGCCGCCTCGCGCGGGGGGCCACCCTCCTGCTCCTCCTCCCTCCCGGACCCCTCGGCCCGGGTCTGGGATGTGTCAAGGGTCAGCTTTTCGACCGATTGCATGGAAAGATGGGTCTAATTCCGAAAAAATCGGTCGCCATTTTGATGAATGATAAAACACACGAGAGATGGAAAGGTGTCCGGACGGCGAGGTGCGGGGCAGGTGCAGGGGAGGGGGCGCGGGCCGGGCGCGGGAGCCGGGTCCGGGCCGGAGGTGCCCGGGCGGCGGGAGGGAAGGAGCGGGAGCGGGAGGGAGAGAGGGAGGGAGGGAGGCCGGGCGGGCGGGCGGGCGGCGCGGGGGATGGGGCCGGCGGGGAGGTGGAAGCGATACCCACCGCCCGTATTGGTCCTCTTGGTGCTGCCGGCTTCCGGGGGGGCTTCCAGCGGCCTTTTCCGCGAGTCCGGCGGGTCCAGGTCTATGGGCACCCCCGTGTGGGTCCCGTTCTGCTGGATGGGAGCTGCCGCCATCATGTTTGCAGTTCCTGCCGCTGCTACGGGGAGAAGGTTCTCCCTTTTGTGTTGGCTTTTTTTTTTCTTTTTTCTTTTTTTTTTTTTTTTGCGTTTGGAGTTTCTTAAGGTGGTTTTTTTTTTTTTTTTTTTAAGTCGGATCAATAGAAATCTCTCAGAAGAAAAAAAAAAAAGCTGTGTGGCTGGCTTGTTCTCACTGGGGAGGGGGCAGGGCGCGCAGCAGCTGCAGTGCAGCGTCGGAAGGAAGGAGACGGGGAATGGAGGGGGAGTGAGGGACGGAGGGAGAGAGAAGGAGAAGAAAGGAGCGAGGGGGAGCGAGAGCGGAGCAGGGAGAGGGGCGAGTGAATGAGCGGGAGGAGGGAGCGGGAGGACGGGCCGGGGAGCGGGAGCGCGGGGCTGGCGGCGGGCGGGCGCGGGGAAGCCGCGGAGGAGGGGAGGGAGCGGGGGAAAGAGTGAATGGGCAGGAGGAGGGGAGGCGGTGGGAGCGGAGCGGGGAGCGGAGGAGCGGAGCCTCCGGGCGGCGGAGGAGGCAGGGGCCGGGCCGGAGCAGCGGTCCCCGCGCCGCTAGCGCTGCGCTCGCTCCCGCCGCTGGTGCTGCCGCCGCCGCCGCTGCCGGAGCGGATCTGCCGCCGCCGGGGCTGCTCGGCGCTGCCGCTGCCGCCGCTGCCCGGTCTCGCTCATTATTTCTCCCGCTTGTTGGGGGGAGGGGGGGCGGCGGGCGGGCGGGAGGGAGGGGGGGCTGCGCGGGGAGGGGAGTGAGGGGGTGAGTTCGGAGACTCCCACACACTTCGCGCCGGGTCCTCGCCGCCTCCCCGCGCCGGAGCGCGGCCCGCGGGGGCGGAGGGGCCGGGTCCCGGGCGCGCGCGCGGAGCGGCGGCGCGGGGGCCGCGCTCCGGGGGCGGGGGCGCTCCCGTGGGAAGGGTGGGGGTGAAAGGTGGCGGGGGGGAGGGGGAGGAACAGAGCCCCCCCCCATCCCTTACCCCCCACACCCCACCCCACCCCCCCACCCCCGGGCAACACGGCTCAGGCAAACGTAAGCGGCTCATCGCCCAAACCCAGGGGTCCGAGCAACGCGCTGGGCGGGAAGGCGGGAAGCCGGGGTTACTGACAGCGGCGCCAGCCAATAGTGGGGGGCGTGAGCCGGGCTCCGCAGGCCCCTCTCCAATCCGGAGGCGTGGGGGTGAGAACGGGTGGAGGGGCGGGGTGGGCCCCCGTCCTGCGGGGCCGGGGCCGGGCCGGCGCGGGTCGGGGCGAGTTGGCGAAGGGCGTTGGAGGGACCGGTGCCGGTGCGGGCACGGGGTCAAGGCTGAGGTTAGGGCCTGAGCGGTGGGCTCCCGGAACTTCTAGCTGAGTGCGTTCGGTTTTGTGGTTCAGAGTGAGTGAGGTGAGAGACACTCGTGAACATCGCACTCATCGGAGGTTTCCTCCCGGGTGATGATGAGTAGAGAGAGTAGGTTTCTGACTCGCACTGTGTGACATCCTTGGGGAATGCAGAGTCTCACTCCCGCCTTAAATCCTTTTGGGGACAAGCCCGGGTGTAAATAAGTAAATGCAGCTAAGCATGGGTCTGCCCTCCTCCGCGAGTCGCTGGGACTCAGACTATAAAGACAGGCAACAGCTGAGCGTGTCCAGAAAATTAACTATTGATCGCAATATGCATATAGGAATAAAATTAATTGCAGTGTGCACTGCTATGGGTTTTACAGATCTTGGATATATTACGCACTTGAACTTCAAGCTACGGGTGGGAGGGGAGGGCGGAGGGGGGGGGGGGCATGAATTTGTCTGGAATAGACCCTGAAAGTCTGGAAAAGACTCAGTTTACAGATGAGTCAATGGACTCAATGAGGTATTGTGCCCAAGGTCATCTATCAGGTTAGTAGTTTAATTAAATCAGTGTGTTAGGAAGCAGAGGGTAGTGACATAGCAGGAGGTCTGGAGTCCAAAATCTTGGTTTCAGTTCCTTGCAGGCATGTTCTAAAAAGTGTGTCTTGGGCAAATCCGATAACATGATTCTACTTACAAGTACTTGCCAGGTGCCAAGTGATGCTCTTTACAGGTAGTGTATCGTGTAGTTATTATTGTTCTCTTTTTGTGAGGATTTTTAGGTTTAGAGGTATTAATAATTTACCCAAAGGCACACAGGAATAAACATTGTAATAATAATTCAAACTCAGTTCTTCCCGATTCCAAAGTGTGTCTGTCCCCTTGAGTATGGCAGTACACTAAAGCGTCATGTTCCCTCCCACTTCAAACAGGGGCTGCACGCCTAGCTCTCGCAGTGCTTACAGGTCAAATGAAACAATGTACATAGCAATGAATTAAAATATGTAAAAAGCTATAAGCACTCACTAGATTTCTAGAACAAAAATCCCCTATAATTCCCACCATGGCGCTTCAAACCTGAAAGATGGCTGCAGTGTTAAGCAGGCATAGGAAAGGACTTTCGCTATCATGCTGTGGCATTCTAACCTCACATGCCTGCATATCTAAAGCAATAATCAAAGCGAATGGAGTAAAATATAATTCCTGCTAGATAAAGAAGGGAATGGAAATGAATACTACTAACTCCATTCCTTGCATTCTTTATTGGAAGGAGTCATTGGGATTTCTGGTGCTTTTCTGTTGAAAGATAGATGATAGTCTGCTGAACACGGAAAGAGAATGACATTTAGTTTGAGAATAAAAGTTCATCTGGTGTGGGGAAAAAACACGTTTGCCTCAAGTCAGGGCAGAAGAAATGCCGAGAGCTGAAAGAAAGGAAAAGCAGGTAAGTTCGTGGATATTGGTAAACATCTGTGAGTCAAAGTCCAGAATTTTGAATATGATGTGATAGGGAACTTCATAGCTTTCATGACCAAAAATAAGGAGGATTTATACACAGAACTGGGTATAAGAAAACGGAGTTGTGGTGAGAATAAAAGCAGTGTTTGGAATAAGTATGTGGTAGTCAAGATAGATACAGGCTGATGCCAGACATTGTGCAATCAAAGTGTTTTGTGAAATATACAAAAATATGTGAGCATGTTTTTTAACAAAAAATTAGGGCTGGGATTTAGTACTAGATTGTTTCGAGGCAGTAAAAGAAGGGGGAGGGAGATAAAGATAAATTTCAAAGCTAGACTACATTAAAGCTTGGGCAAAATATTTGGCAAAATGTAATTTTGGAGAAAGACTGACTTAGAATTTGAAAATCTACTGTTAATAAGTTGCTAAAAATAAAACATTTCTAAAATAGTTTAGAAAATATTTTTTATTGCCATGTGTAAGTTAAATCGCCTTATAGACATAAGCTTGCTGAAAGTTATGGTATTCATTTCACCCTTCTCTTATTCACTTTTTCAGACTTATATTTATATACTACACACACTCCTTGATGCCCAGAAGCAGAAGATAAGATTTTTGGTGTGCATAGTGGGCTTAATAGTAAACTAGCTATGACATGCCAGCAATTACAGCGACAATCTTAATACCTGGACACTAAGGATCAGTCACCTATGAGCTGATTTGGTCAATGAAGCTTATCAGAGATTATATTCTAATTACGCCTCCATTCTCTAGCGTGTTTTGTTGTGTGTGTTTTTTAAATTCTATTTCTCCATTTTACACTTATACCTCTATCATTCTAGTTATGTAGACATCGGCATTTTATCCGTTGTTTTCTGCATTTTCCTACCAGCAATAAAACCAAAGAAATAAAAAAGCAGTTCCCAGCTCATTAATAATTATTATACTATACTCCTTAAGCTTCAAATAAACTTTTCAAAAAAAATAGAAGCGTTTGATCTTTTAATTTTTCTGAAAAGACATGTTTTATTTTTTAATTACCCAAGAAAGCAGCACTGCATCTCTCTCTTAATCCTCACCTGAGGATATGCTTTTTCTATTGATTTTTAGAGAGAGGGGAAGGGAAAGAGAGACAGAGAAACATTGATGTGAGAGAGAAACATCAATTAGCTGCCTCCCATACGCTTCCCCAACCTGTAACCTAGTGTTCTTTATTGGAAGGAGCATCTAGGAGTCCTTGGGATTTCTGGTGCTTTTCAGTAATGAAAGAGAAATGATAGTGCCTACAGAAATCAAACCCTCCACCATTTGGTGCATAGGGCAACACTTCATCCAACTGAGTAACCCAGCCAGGGCTGCAGCACTGCGAATTGAATATTTTCTAACAAATTAAGGTACAAGAGAACTTGTGTGCTTTTTCTTGCTAATTAGTTGATGAATTATAAGCAACTGTGATAGAAAATAATAATTTTCTTTATCAGCTTTCAGTAGGGGTTCTTTTTCTTTCTGAGTTTTGGTCTGAATAACCTGGATGGAAGATAATCTATTTTCAGTAATAATTATCAGCTTCTGCCGAGACCGGTTTGGCTCAGTGGTAGAGCGTCGGCCTGCAGACTGAAAGGTCCCAGGTTCAATTCTGGTCAAGGGCATGTACCTTGGTTGCAGGTACATCCCCAGTACGGGGTGTGCAAGAGTCAGCTGATAGGTGACTCTCTCTCATTGATGTTTCTTACTCTTTATCCCTCTCTCTTCCTCTCTGTAAAAAATCAATAAAATATATTAAATAAATAAATAAAATAATTACCAGCTTTCTAGAGAAGGCACAAAAAGTTGGTACCCACAAATATCCCTAAACCCATTTCTTTGTCTCCATGTTCCTGCTTTCCTACAAACAGCCCTGTTACTAAAGAACATCAATACTCCCTCTATTTCAGCGTTACCTCAGCCTATGCTTTGGGAAAATATTTTCTGAGTTTGTGTTCTACCAGAATTAGAACCCAAGTTAAGGACTCAAGTGCAAGTAGTTTGTTTTAGAAGTGTTTTCAGGAAATACAGTAGGGACCTGGGGAAGTGAGACGGGGATGAAAGAAAGGCAATGAAGGGTGAATTACCAAGCAAGTTTCCTGGAAAACCATTTAAAACAGTAGCCTCAGAATAAAGTGTGGAAATAATGGGTATATAGGCACCAACTCTTTGGTCATTGGTGGGGATCTGTT